AAGATCTGTTGACGTTGTTCCCAGTAGCAAGAAAAAGAATTTGACAAAGGAGTCCAGAAAAAGCGATGATGGGCATCAAACGAAAGGATCACAGTCGAATTTAGCACCAAGTAAAAAAAAAAAACATGAGGCTAGATCTATATGGGTCGCACACTTAAAATAGTGCTCAGTATTGCACGACAATGCGCGATGGTATCAAACGGAAGTACGACTTGAAATAAACAAACCTAGTGGATTTTCTAAAATTACAGAGACAGAAGTGTCGGCCTACAAAAGCGATCGGCGAAATAAAGAAATTTAGCTTTTTGCAGCAAAACTGTCTCAAAACTGAAAAAACAAAGGGTGCCATGATCTGGAGAATATTTTCAAGAATATTTTGGCGAAAACCGCATATCGATAGTTGAAGCTATTAAAAAGCCTTTTGAATAGCAAAATTCAGCCACCACAAATAGATAATAGATGAGCACGCCATAAATAAAAAATATTCACAGAATGTGTACGGGCCACGATTTTCTTGCAACCTAGCCAGCTTTGTAACTTTACCTGTTAAAATCATTTTACGAAAAAGGCTCCCCGAAAAGGCGATAACAATATGTTATAACTTGCTTGTGCCTTGAAGTTCGAATCGTATTCTGTGTACCATTGTGTCACGTAACCACCATGATAAAAAGAAGTAAAATTCTCCCAGTAGTGAAGCAAAGCGTATGTTAACAATCCGATTTATTGCTGATACGACAAGGCAACTGAACTGAGACAGATGCGTCAACATTATTCAAATGTAAAAACAAAGCGCGGCTTGAACATAACAGATAATCAGCTTGCACTTAGAGAAGCGCAAATATAACACTCTTCATTTATTATTTCATTACTGCTTGAGTGTTCGTGGTCGAGTATGATGGGGGTTATCTCTGCCAACACTGAAAGCGGTTTCAGAGGAGTGAGGGAGCGGCTCCAAATCTAACGAACACCCTCCAAGAATCTAGTTGATAAAATATCATGTGGAGAGCCTTGGGAACTCTCCAAACAACCCACGCCCATGAAGGCCAAAATGGGGATTCCAACAACACAGTCCAGCCTCAAACTTTAAGGAACAACTCTTTCATTGAAAAGGCATTGGTGAGGCTTTTGTGCTTTCCATTTAAAAATAAAAAGAAGAGCAAAGATCAACACATTTGCGGAAACAACAGAACACATTACGAATTTTGTTTACTCAGAATGACTTTGAATGTTCGCATCTGCTTCACTTTGGGTCTCCCACACCAATCACGTCACTGCAACTGTCGCATTATTAGCTTGACCTTTGTCATGAAACATGTGACATAGACGTGATCAAAGCGCGATGAAAATTGAAAACATAAGTGACTGCAGATCACCATGTGGAGTGGGTGATAGAGTGGATGGCGGGCCGAGATATATGCGCTCAAGGAATCTCAATTATGGAAATATATGTAATCTTAGTCGTTATTTACGACCTTTTTTGAAAGTATTTGAATTTTAAATTCGGCCTAATGATTTATTATTTGAAAGTGTGTTGATTCGATGGAGAAGAAGGGCAGTAAGGGGTATAATCTAGTGCTTGAGGAAGTCTCCCGTGAAACTATTTGAGAGATTGTCGTCTGTGGTGTAGCATTTAGGTTAATTGCTGTCGCACGCAAAAGACCTGAGTACAATTCCTGTGAGAGGAGAATTTATGTCGAGTATCTTGCTATGACGATGCATCCCTCTCAGCCTGGTTTGGCACTGACAGAAAGGGCCGAGGCCTAGATCTACCTCTCAATTTATCTAAATTATGTCAATAGGGATGTAAAAACACCGAAATTTAAGAACTAAGTTGTCCAGAATTAGGACAAAAAATATAGTCAAAATCAGTACTTGTAATAGTTTTAGTAATCCGGACATTCAGTCTGTATGCAAATGTGCGATCCAATGAGCGAACAAGTGAGTGATTGGGCGAGTGAATGAATGTATGAGGGGACAAGTGACTAACTGACATACTGAATAAGAGAGAACTTTTGGGACTGAGCAGACTTTGTCGCTTCGGCGTAGTGAGCAGCGTTATTAAATTGCAAGTTCAGCATAAATACAGGCTTTTGACGTGCGCACCACACCATGAATATATAAAAAATTATGTCTTACGTCTTTGTTCAATGGCTTTCATGAGGGCTCTCGTGGTCAAGAGGTTCGCTTTTCATCCAATAGGTCCCGTGCTCGAAACCTGACAGCGACGTAAAATGTTCTTCTCTAAAGTTTTCTCCTTCCACCTCCTCTCCAGCTCTCTAGTCATATTCTTTCATCTGCTTTCATCTCCACTTTCTGCCCCCCTCCCCCATCCCCCTTCACTGGGCTACTGACTCTTCCTTCTGCTGCTCCTGACTCCTTCTTACTACTGTCTTTCAGCCACACCCTTGATCTTACGGTAGGTAAGATCGAACACCTAGCCTTCTCAGATTCGGGCGAAAAAATCAAGGATGTCCCATAATGTGCAAGTTGCGAAAGTTAAAAATCCCTTTGTGGCCCTATAATCTACAAGGGAAGGCTTCGCAGCCAGTCGGACAAAATTCAACATTATTTTCTACTAAATCTGAACCAAATAGTGTCGATCGCGCTCATTATAATATATGATATGGCCTTATGCAGTTGCAAGAGCCGTGAAGCTTTTACCAAAACAAGAAAAAAGGCTTTCAGGCTGTGTAGGCTCAACATTTATATTTGAGGTTGGTTTTGTCTAAACTGTGAGGGCAAACGGGAAGGAATATATTCAAGAGGAGGTCAGCTTTGAAAAAACCCTGCTGACGAGATCGGTTTCCTTTGTTGGCCTGGTTAATTTTAAAGCGAAAAAAACTTTGCTATCCCTCAGTTTCATTATTTATTGCTCCTGCTGTTATTTTATTGGTGTGGGTTTTGATGGTGTTGGTAGCGTTGGTGTTGCGCTACTTTTGCTACTACTACTAGATCAACTACTACTACTACTACTACTACTACTACTACTACTACTACTACTACTACTACTACTACTACTACTACTACTACTACTACTACTACTACTACTACTACTACTACTACTACTACTACTACTACTTTGTTGAGTATCGGTTGGGCGGAAAAAGATAAATCCTCCTCCTCCTCCTCCTCCTCCTCCTCCTCCTCCTCCTCCTGCTCTCTCTCTCTCTCTCTCTCTCTCTCTCTCTCTCTCTCTCTCTCTCTCTCTCTCTCTCTCTCTCTCTCTCTCTCTCTCTCTCCCTTTCTCTCTCCCTTTTCATGGAATTGAGACAGTTATTGCTCAACATTGAAGGTTACCAAGTTTCAGATTGCGAGATTACAGGGTCACCTACAAAGTGGTTGATTATTAAGAATTCAGTGTTGTCATTATCTTAATTTCCAGTATCACAAGGAGGGGGGGGGGGGGTATGTAATGCTTTTGTGAGCCTACCGACACATCAAAAACAAACTTTGATAAGTTTTGGTGTCTCTTGTGCTATGGTAACAATTTGGGAAGGCAGCACATCATAAAAAAGCAAGTTGATCAGAAGGTTATCAAGAACAATCGTAGAGACCTAAGTAACTTTGAATATCTGCACAAAACAAGTGTGCTTGTGCGTATGCGTGAGTGCACCTAACCTTTGTAACATTCCATTAACCTTGTATACGACCAAAACAAATTTCTCCCTGTGAGATGAATAAAGATTGCCATTGTCATTATCAGTGTCATTATCATTGTCACAAATCAATAGTTTTAGGAGGCGGGTCAAGACCCCTGCCTGTCAGGATGTCAGGGCCAACCTGGACTGATAGGGATATTACGTCCCCCAGCAGAGAGAGCAAGATGCATTGTACTCGATAAAAAATCCCCCCCCAACCCCACACACACACACAGGAAACGAACTCGAATCTTCTGTGTGCGAAGGTGAAGCGCCTAACCGCTACTCTATATAACATGCCAATGATCATGGTGCACATGGGTACACAGATTGAGTATGGGCGACATGGTTGATCAATAATATTTAAAGAAAGATGTATCGAAACAACAGGCAGTTCTCGCAAGAAGCTGATTTTTTTAATCAGCATATTTCTTATATTCACCAACTCTACTGTCTTCGAGCGCATTTCACTGAAATATTTTAGCTATAGAATAAATGCTCCGACTAAAAATCAATAATAAAATAGAAAGTAGAGAAGTCCAGCAGTATGTGAAGTATGAAGTCTAACCAGGAGGCGCAAAAAAGATTGCAGAGACCTCTGGAGATAAGGAAATGTTATCAGACTGTTAGGATGCTTTTATGCAAGGGCGTTTATCAGGTTTGTACTCTTTTCCTTAGAAGACATATCATTTCCGCAAAATGAGTCGAAACAAAAGATCCGTTGCAATTTTGTTTAGATTCGTAAAGATTAAACATGTCATGGGAATAACCTTATTGATTGATCGCCTTCATCAACACAATTAATATCACTTGAGAAGCAGGTTGCCTCGACTTTGCCTTTCTTCAGGGATAACTTGAGCCGAGAAGAACACAGCAGCAGACAGGGATACTTGATAAAATAACTTCGGGAATCGAACTTACTTCTTCTGCGTGATACGCCATTATTACGTTACAAATCTTTCCTTGAGAATGACAAGAAAAATAGAAGGGTGGGGGGGGGGGGGTGGGGGTTGAGTCTGGGAACAAAAAAGTTTAATAACTTATACTGTTATCAAACTCCTTTCCTTCAAAAAGAGTATTTTTCTTTAACAACATCTGGAACGTAGCGCCAACTTAACAGCTTTTCTGAAAAATGAATACATGCCTGGCATTGTGAATAGGCAATACATCTAATTATAGGGGACGACAACAGAAAAGGTGGTACTGAGTTAGATCCAGTAAAATTCTTGGTCTAGTACGAGGACACAGCAATTAGATCTATCCGTGGTGCGCACACAACCACCCAAAACAAATCTCACAAATCAATGCGCTCATTATTTTCTCGACGTCACCAATTTATGAGTCCTCATCCCACTGGTTTTCTTCTCCTTGAAGAAGATAAATATTGTGAGCTTCCGGCCTTCTAGAAAGCCTTCAGTGTCGCCCTATCCTCTCCTCACCTGCACATCTTTGAGTCTGTGGTAGGAAGTTAGTTTGACATGGACGACTATTTCAGATCATGTGCGGAAAGGGCCCGGACAGACGATAGTTGCTGGTCACGGCGTCGAGTTTACGTCAATTCCATCCTGTGTTTTGCTTTTCTCTATGGATTCTACCTCTTGTTCAATATCGCGGGTGCCAGGTATTTTAATCTTATGAAATAACATAAAAGATCTTTTCAAATGTTATGAGAGCTTGTCATGGGGAATTTTTAAAGGAATCTGAACACTTCTAAATAATTTTAAGACAAGGACTCAAACAGAAATAGATGAACAGGCAAAGGAAAAAATGGGTGAGGGAGGAGGCTGATTATAATAGAAATATTTGAAAAGAACGGGGGGGGGGGGGGCGGTATCAGGGAAGGAGCTCCGCAGAGGGCCGGCCAACTAACAACACACAAAAGAGAGGATATTTCGAGCGGGGTATACCCTAACCCTAATTCTTAACCTAACCCTAACCCTAACCCTAACCCTAAACCCTAACTCTTGTATAGTTTGCTCACGGGACCTTGTCACGGTTAGTGCCGGCCCCTGTGCAGAACACCTCCCAGTCTCGGTGACTGAGAGACAGAGAGAAAGGGAGACAGAGGGAGAGAGAGAGAGAGAGAGAGAGAGAGAGAGAGAGAGAGAGAGAGAGAGAGAGAGAGAGAGAGAGAGAGAGAGAGAGAGAGAGAGAGAGAGAGAGAGAGAAGGTGATGGTGAGCGACCAAGAAAAGGTATACAACTTATTTTATTATAGCTATGGGTAAAAACTTATGTTATTTAAGCTTCAACTGCGTTCAAAGCTTTTTCTTGTAATACAGTGGAGTCCACTTATAACGAGTCCTGAAACAACGAGAAGTCTGTTTTATAACACTGTTCTAAAACCCCGTTTTTTTCGTTCTTTATCTTTGTAAGTAAAATACTGCTATTGCGCAATCAGGCCGTCACGCGAGTCGTTTATAACGGAATACTGCTGCTGCTGTGCACATTATTATAAAACCTTGCCAGTTGAGAAAGTTGTCGGTGGTCCAGCGAAACAAGGAATGGGAGAGCCCACGTGAACCAACAATGAAGGCCGGAGCGAATGAGTGGGGAGGGTGTGGCATGCGCAGACACAGGCAGAACGCATCGCATGGTAGGCCAGCCCAGTCTAGATTATCTAGGCATACCGTGCCTCTCACTTTTCTGGTGTGGGATGGAGAGGTCACAATGCTGTGATAGATGGAGTGAATGTATGACGTGCGCGAGCAGACGCAACGCACCACAGTGTGTGGTGGGGTGGGGGACAACACAGCGGGCGAGTTAGCCTAGAGCCAGAGCCCATTCTCTCTGATCGCCAAGGCCGATTTGTCAACATTGCTAGTGCTAGAGAAAGAAACCTGATTCGATTTTTGATCAAGTAAGACCTTGACATCATGTTGAACAAATCATCATCAGGGGAAATACAAAAAGGAATAAACAGAACGCCAAATCATAGATTAGACCTACTTTACTATTTCCCTTGAATTTATTACTGGATCCCTTGTAACGAGAATCCTGCTATAACGGACATTTCGCACCGGTCCCCTCCCTCTAGTTATAACAGGATTCCACTGTACCACTCTGCCAAAAGAAAGTTGCAAAATAATAATTTTAATGAAGAGTATCCCAAGGTGTTGATAACCAAAAATCCCTATAGGTACGTCTTGCTCCGCTTGGTGACTCCTGCACTCACAGACGCAGATGAGCGTGATGTTCCTAACTCACAAGAAAGGCTATTTTTCTCTGCTGTGGTAAGGAACCATGGTAAATTGTCACCAGTATGTTTCAGTCCTTCTAAACTAATCGTTAATGTATCACACCCTCAGTGTACACATCATGTATGTGTGCATGTGTGTGTGTGAGTGTATGTGTGTGTATGTCAGTGTGTTTGTGTGTGTGTGTTTACGTATGGGAGAGAGAGATGAGCACAAGAAAGAGAGAGAGAGAGAGAGGTGGGGAGAGGGTCGTAGAAAAGTGAAGAAGATACATTCGTCCTTGTTGTAATGTAACTGTGGGTGAAACTCACTGAACTTAATGATAATTTCGGGACGTGATGGTAGTCGAGTTGCATTGAAATAGCTGGGATGAAGAAATCTGGGCGGCGGGGGGGGGCGGGTATAAAAGTGGTATATTTTTAATCTTTACATCATTTGCGGGCAAACTGCTTCGACCAGGCCTTTCAGGGCCAACACTGGCTGAGTGGGATACATCATTCCAGCAGAAAGGCTGAAATTGTCCATACAATAAACTTCCCCACGAAAGAATCGAACCAAGCTCTTTTGTGCAAAGCGATAGTTTGACCATTATATCAGACACGCTCGTATTTTTCTCCCATGGCCCTAAGGATCTTATAAAAAGTTTGGCATAAGGGACTATTGTTATCGTTCTTTCACAACAACGGATCCTAGTAAAGTTCCTATTAATGCTTTCTACGCTTATCAGCATTCTCTTCTTGTTTGTTTGTTTGTTTAGTATAGGGTTTTACGGCGCTCGCAACTGCATAAGGTCATATGAGCGCGCGGGACACACCTAACACTTTTTCGTGGGTAGGAAATTTTGAATTTTGCCCGGGGGGCGGGCGAAGATTCTCTTCTTGACATTCAAAGAGCTGATTTTGAATTGACATGTATATTTATAAGAAACTCACCTCCTGCGGATCCAGGCAGAGGGTAGGCCTGCTATTATTAGCATGATTATATTTGGGCGCTTTTAAGCACAAGGGGGCTATCCCGAAAAATGCTGTTTTTGAGAAAACCGAAAGTAAAGTTTCTGCCCCTTGTTCACTCAGTTTCTTTAAAAGACAAGGATAGTTTTCTATCCAAACAAATATATACAATCCATTAAAACCAAATTTCTCCTATAGGTAGAGCAATACCCACTTTTGGTGTAGGTGAAGATTTCTGGAAACCCCGAAATCTGGGTTAACCCGCTTGTCTTTAAAAATGGCCATTTTTGTGTACTCTTGTGTGCTTTATCGGTTATAAATTGTGTATTCATACGAGAAGTTCAAAACGAAACAAAACAAAACACAAAACAAAATAATGCAAAACGACAGAACCTTTCGCTCCTTTGATCTTTTGAAGAGTGTGGAAAGAAAAAGACGCCTGAAGTAGGTGGTTGAGAGCGTCATTGGCAAGTCCTTATACCTCTTTTCTTTGTCTTCGTTGTTTCTGTAGCAGAATTTGTGTTGTCCCCTCCATTGTATGATCGTCAATGTGTGGACTTAAAAGTTCACCGAGACATTGGTTGGTTTTTTTTCTTTGATGTTGTTTGTTGTTTTGGGTTTGTTTTCATCATGATATTATGAGCACGCATTGTCCTTAACTCGAAAAAAAAATCCCAAAGGGAAATTATGGGTCAAATGGTTGACAAAACATTTCTCTAACCACAGGGCTTGTGTGTCATTGCCGTGGTTGTTGCTTTTCATCTGCTCGTGAGAGAATCGTCCCACAGGGAGACAAGCGAAACCCATGGACACGAAACTGGCATACAATGTGACGGAAGTTCAAGCATCTCATTAGCCGTGGACGATGTCATTCTGGGCGAAGAAAATACCAAGGAGGTTAGCTGTTATCTGATCTCCCACGTCTCCTTTTACACACACACACACACACACACACACACACACACACACACACACACACACATACATGTATATGTATTTATTTATTTATTTATACTGTCGAACTTGTGTAAGACGGTCACGCATTGTCAATGAGAAAAATGGCCGTTTAAGACAGGTGGCCAGTGGCCATCATACGCAGGGCTGATCAAAATGAAGAAAAACTGTCCCAACAGGAGGTGGTCGCAGGCTTAGGACTGCCGTAGGGCTCATAAAACTGTGTGTGTGTGTGTGTGTGGTAGGGGGGGGGGGAGAGGGAGAGGATAGGAAGGTTTTCATGGGACTTTTTGTTGTTAGTTGTGGGTTGTTTTTTAAAGAATATTGTTCCATGAACGGTCAAAACAAAATGAAATGTGTCAGACAAGGAAGGCCAAGTGCCATAGTATGACAAACAAATGGGTCGCTACCACTCGGCGAACGAGCGACACTTCTGTCGCGACTTTGTGTTGACTTCTATTGCTATGGACTGGGTCTACGGACTAGGTTATGACGGATCTCAGGCTTCCCTTACCAGCAGCTGAAATGTGACCGTTACCCATTGGTCAACTTGGGTAAACACACATACACCCCCCCCCCCCCACACACACACATACACAAACACTCACATAATATATATATATATAATATATATATAATATTTCCCAGGAAGTTGAGTTTGTTTCAGAATGCTCTCAGGTCCGCTGGGGTGATAGTATACATTATAAAGCGCATAGAGCTGGCTGCTGAGTGGTGTTTTCCGCTATACAATGGTATATTTTATATATAATTTTTAGAAATAATATATATGATATATATTACGTATGTTTTTGTATATATATATATATTCCTTTTCAGAGCACAGACAACTCGTCTGACAAAAATGTTGTTTGTTTAGGCTGTGACGTAATTTTGGCACATGTCAAGTAAGTTTTATTCAGTTTAGACAAAGATCGTACATAGATCTAACAAGATGGTCGACTCAGCCAAAAAAAGTGTCCGCCGAAAGTCCGCTCATTGCTTCAGATGGAGCTGTAGTCTGTTTTGAAGCTCTCTTTCGTTTCTCCAGAACAAGAATAGGAATAGCACCTTCTTGTGTGCGCAGATCGACTGCTGTTCATTAGCTATTCGGGTTCGTTCAGTGCGCAGTTTTAGGGGGGAGGGGGAGGTTATTCTAATTACCTCTCGCCTCTCATTCTTAAGTCAAATTTAACGAAGAAAACAGTCTCCTCTTCCTCCGAAAGAGGTTTTTTGTCACCCTCACCATTTAAAAAAAAACATTCTTCCGAAATTTGAATTCTTATTTATTCAAAAACGTGTTAGTTTCACTTAGATTTTTTTGACACAAGTAGGGTAACTCTGTTCGCAAAGGGCGCGCATTTGCGAAGAGGGCGCCACCGAATTTTGAGGACACTTTTTTAATTCGCTCAAAGAGAGGAGTGGACTATCTTGTTATGTAGGATCATTGGTTTAGATCTTTTTTTTTTTTTTGCACACCCTAAAAGTTTCTTCTTTTTTTTTTGTAGCCAAACGAAACAATTGTATAAGTGTTATGTATTTGGAAGTAAGGAAGGTTAGGAGGAAGAGGGATGACGGCGATTTGTGGTAGTAGTTGGGTTGCTTGCATTAAAAGAGATGAGGTTTTAGAAAGGCTTGGGTGGTTGGGGGGAGGTAAGTCATCATAAGTATCTACAATTAGTCTCAAGGATATTTGGACCAATTTAGATCTATATTTTTGAGAGCGTAAGTTCCACTTCCATGGTGGGTTCTGTAAGTAGTATGTATAAGGTTAACTTTGCTTTAGCAATGATTTTCTTGCACAGTTCATTGCACTAAAGCTGCATGTTTTATAATAATTCTTTCTCCATAATTCCTACCATAGTGGCCAGAGCTATTGAAATGGTGGCCAACTGAGTACGTGACTTTTTCTGCACAAAGTATTCAACTTAGCTCTGCGCAAAGGAGATTTGACTCACATATCTAGCAGGGTAAATAATAAATTTTTAGTAACAATCGGTTAGAAGTGTGTTTCTTTTGAAAAGAGAATAATAAGTACTTCTGCTGATGACTTATGTCCTGATTTAGGACCACGAACTTCCGTTTAAGCCATTATACGGTTATAGGGTATGGACGACCCAGTTTCAAATCTTGATTAAAACTTGGGGCTAAAGTCTAAATACAGAATGTCTTGAGAAGTCAAAAGTTCCCCCGTTTCATCGCATCTGATAAGCGTTTAAATTTCAAAGTCCCGCCCCTTGAAGAAAGTACCATTGTATTCGTAAGTGTGCAAAATGTAATTTTAAAACTCACGTAAAATGTGTACTTTCAACCCAAAACTTTTTAGGGCAGAGATAGCTGGGACTGAACCAATTCCACGGAAATCTGCCAGCGAAGATCTTGTTTGCAAAATGAGATTTGAACGCAAGAACGGTTGCCCCGCCATGGACGACAATCGCATCAAAGAACAAGAAGGGCCAGACAAAAGTTCCCATGTGGCACATTCGGTGACCGATTTACAAGGTGTTGTTCTTGTTTATGTTTTATTTTAGAGCTTCTACACTTTATGGCCAGAGACAGTCGCGTATGCGTTTGATATAATCCTGGGGCATAATTGTTGTTTGCATAATGTTTAAAGATGATAAGTCTATTGTACTTGTGTTTAGAAGTAATCGTCTGCCTTTAAAACGGGGTAAAGACAAATCGCTCTGCTAAATCTTTCCTGGATGACTAACAAGAAATGAAAAGCCCATTAACGAAGACCACTACAAAATAAGGTTCCGAATTCTTTTCTTCTATGTTAGCCTAAAGTGAATCCAAAATAGGTGATATACAGCATGCAACTAAAACAAATTCCATCAATATCACACTTTTACCTAGGCCTACGCCAGTAAAAAGACCAATAGAAGGGTCGGGTGCTTTTCGAGAAGCACGATGTGATGTCTAGATGGTCGGGGTTGGGGGGGGGGGTGAACTTGGAGATTACGCTGAAATCTTGGGGTAGGGTGATATCGCTGTCTCAATTTGTACTCTAGGTTGCTTTAAATCATCTACATTTTATTGTTGAGATCATGTGTATGCTTAGGGCGGCATTTAACAAAGGGTCCAAACAAGGAATTTTAATGATTCTGGATCAAGATTTTTAGACACATATCGTTTAGTAGTAGACCTAAAGGATTTGCAATTCAATGCAAAGATTCATGTGTTTGGGCAAATTCATAAATCGGACAGACGAAAGTGAACAAGCTGTAGTTTAAATCAGCGATCTTTTTAATAATGAGCATACAAAAGTCTCATCAGCACAGTGGAGGGTTATTCATGGCTGCAATGTCTCTGCTGGACAGTGTAACAATCTGTGCAAAACTAAAATTTACAGTTTGTACAAATCAAATTGACTTTTCTGAGCGAAAGAAAAGTAGAGAGTGCCTCCTTGACATGCTCTGGCGTGGGACAACTGCACCTATTTGTATTCTATTAGCGGTTTTTTGTAATGATTTTCTTGAGGTGGCGTCATGCCATAAACGACATTTATTCAGTTGCTTGCCCAATTTCTTCCACACCTTGTAAGTTCTTCCCGACTCCCGTCGTTACTTCTGGGCATCCTTTTCTCGATTCCCTAAACTCAAGCAAAATATACGTATCTTCAAACTAAAGCTTGGTAGGAGCTTTTTCCTTCTCTTTTTTAAACCAGTCCTTTACTATTATGAAGACATTATTTTAACTATCAAAACATGCTCCAAGGTACTGCACAACAGAATACGAGTGAGAGCAGCGTCCAGACTGATGGTTTGGGCCTCCACGAAACGACAGTGTCAGTGACAGAGACATCTTTTTGCTCTATAGCCACCATGACGGAGGTACCGGAGATGGTTGACGCTGCAGTCAATACGCAGCAACTGCGCTATAAATCCTTCAGGTAGCCTACGATCTGAAGAAACAGATACAGTTTCAATTTTTTTTAAAGTTAGCAATAAAGTAGACCTAACAGAAAGACATATCAATGAATATAGTTTTCGACTGAACAGGCATTTTAAGTGGGCTTTCCAAATACCTTTCTTTTATGTTTGTGTGATAGTCTGTTCTCTTTGAATGTTACTGTATCGATAAAGTGTGACGCTCGGCTTAGCAAATCAACCCATTAGTATGAGCACTAGGATTGATTATTGGCAGGAAGACCAGATTCTATTTACAGCCAGCTGTGCCAACCTACTCTACCCCTAGGCCTACGTCAGCCAAACAGTTCGATAACCACCCCTTTTTTGAGTAGAGGTTTTACGGTGCTCGCAACTGCATAAGGTCATATGATCGCCAAGGGGTGAATGTCGACAGAGAAGTCCTGACAGGGAATCGGGCTTACTCTGCTCACCTCTCTAGCTTCAACAGCACAAAGTCTGCTTCGACTACCAATGCACCTCGGAAATAGAAGGTCACAAGAGTGTGACAAACATGCAAAAGAAATAAAGAAAAAATGACGATAGTAAGGATGAGGAAAGAAAAAGCAGCAGTTCCCTGTTGCAATTCCGGCAAAGTTATGAGTATGACATTGATGAATCAGCCCATAATTATACAATTCTGCTGTGGAACAGAACATGGTAATGTAATTCCCTTTTGGAATAACCAAAGGACACTTAAGTCAGTAGCACCACCCCGGGGGTTGAGCACCCCTTTCACTTCAACGTAATTAAACAAGCTGGTAGAATTCATATGGAGATAAGGATACTTATAATTGCCTTGAAAACATTGCTAAATTCTATCAAAGCCGAACAAATACCTTGCATTTCTTCCTTTTTCAGAAATAGTGGCACTTCAACATCGGGCCCGTTCCTGAAGAAGCTGAGACGAGCCCAGCGCCTGCTACACGAAGCCAGGTGGAGAACAGCACGAGACAGGAAGAGAAAGATTCTGGAATGGCGTGCTATCATGGGCAGATACCAGGAGAAACGTGAGTCACTTGAATAAGGTGCACCCTCAAACAATCCCAGGGAGTTGCTCAGTTACTGGAAGACGGAGGCTGTGCTAAGGCAATTCTTATGCTCGCGAGAAATAAGTATGGGGCTGACGTTTAAAAAGGTAGATAAGAAATTCCTTTCTGATAAAGATTATCGACATTTTGACAAAATGAAATTTAATGGTTTGAAAAGATTTGCCGATGACGTCTTTCTAAATATGATGGTGCATGCAAGCGTCACGGTTAATTTGCAAATGTTCCCTTAACCTCCGCTAGGGTCGATTTTGACCATTTCGAACACCATTCTGACAAATGGATTTACATTATCATTGTCCACGGAAATGAAACTTTAAAATTTTAATACAAAAACATTTGATTTTAATCGGTGACACGCCCGTCAAGCAGAGAATGATATGCCCAAGGTGAGTCTGCCATAACATCAGAGCGTCTGCCTTTCCTTTGCCTCCCCCCCTTCTCTCTCTCTCTCTCTCTCTCTCTCTCTCTCTCTCTCTCTCTCTCTCTCTCTCTCTCTCTCTCTCCCTTTTTCTCTTTCTGTTTATCGCTCTCTCTCTCTCTCCCTTTTTCTCTTTCTGTTTATCGCTCTCTGTCTCTGTCTCTGTCTCTCTTTGCATATATGTATTATGTATATAATGTTATATCTCTATCTCTCCCTCCCTTTCTCGTTCGGTTGCTGATATGATTGGAAAGACTAGAAATTATATTTAAAAGTGTCGTGCAAATGGTTCATAACTTTTGTTTCTAACCTACACAGTCCTGAGGTTGACCCAGAGTCTGATCAGCAAGGACCACTTGATTGGCTACACTGTCTCGACAAGAAAACTTTCTGAAGAAGAGGTCAAAGTCATTCGCACCACTGTCAGGTGACTTTAATATTAATAATAAATGACATGTATATAGCGCTCAACCTCCAATTAAAGTACACAGGCTCTGAGCACTTAACAATACAGTACAATGTACAACAGTAACATAAAACGTTATGTTCTGACTAAAAGAAAATTACTCCGAATATTCATCTTATTAATTTGAAAACAGAAACTTTGACAACTTTTCTTCTGTCATCTCTCGTTCGTTTTGATACCAGCTTCCCTCGGCTGTGAGTTGAGAGGCTGGGAGTTGACACATACCTTTGGTTTGATTTCCCAAATTATAACGTTTTATTTGTTGTTTTTTCTTTTACCAAATGCTGCATGCGTGGCATTTCAGTGCAGCACTGGGAATTATAAAATAAAATTCCTTTTATTTCCAGACAATCCAAACCCTAAAATATAATTTGATGTATCAACGTTTTTCTCGGCGAAGAGACCAAGAAAATTGTATACTGCTTTGCAATTGCACACATGTTTTACAAATAAGTAATAATTAGAGATTATTTTGTTCCGGAATATTATTAAATACCATATTTCTAATCCAGCGTTACGTACTGTATTTATTACTATTACTAATTTATTTAGAGTATTCTTTTTTCTCCCATCTGAGTAGATTTTCCCAGGACAAACTGGAAAGTCAGCAGAAAATGAACAAGAAACTTGAGACAAACATTGAAGAGAAATCCACAGCAACAGCAAACTTAGAGCAAGAGAACTGACGGGCCATCGGAACATGCCCAGTTGGTTCCTCCCACAAATATTCCAATGCCATTAAAAAACATTCAATAAACGTACCCATTTCACAACACTACAATGCATTTAAGTGTGCTTCTTATTTTATTTTTTCTGTGCTCTGACAGTGTCTTTCTTCTCCGTTTAATTATCACGATCGGGAGTTTGTGAGCGTCCAGAACAAAAGTTACTGATTAAGCCGAGCCTAGCCTCTCTCCTGTCAAAGAGCGTCGTAGAGCGAACAGCTCAGTTCTTCAGATAAAAAGCAACTGCCGCTTGTCGGTAGCAAGCCCACAATAGCGTGTTCACTTTCGTCTGAACGCGGTAATAACAAGAAAATGAAATCCGATCTTTGCATACGGGGCTAAAAGGTGTATGGCCTACAGAATCTAAAAACCCATTCATAAAGGTTACTGTACACTAAGGTTCCGACCCGTTTCCTGACATGTAACCTTAAGCTGGTCAACAAATTAATAGGGGATTTACAGCATACACCGAAAGCATTTCAACGATATTTTCCTCAACTCTAGACTAAGACCTATACCGAACCTAGACAAAGCTATCTTTAGACCGTTTAGTCAGTTTTGTCCCATAATTTAACTTCCACATGAGCCGTACCACACCAAGACGCAAGGGGTCCATGTCTATGTTCCCTAGCTTTATGTTCCGTAGCCCTATGTTCCCTAGCCTTATGTTCCCTAGATCTGTGTTCCCTCAGCTCTAATCAAGTTACACGATGACCAAAGGTCAACTAGTGGTCAGAGTGACCAGTGGTCAAGCAATGGTCAGTGTGACAGTGTTCAAGCAATTGTCAGAATGATCATTGGTAAAGCAATGATCGGAGAGACCAGTGGTAAAGCAATGGTCAGAACGACCTGAGTCAATCAATGGTTGAACTGACCAGTGGTCAAGCGTAAGTTTATGGTGAAATTGACGTGAGAGAGAGAGAGAGAGAGAGAGAGAGAGAGAGAGAGAGAGAGAGAGAGAGAGAGAGAGAACACAGAGCTAGGGAACATAGGGCTAGGGAACATAGGGCTGCCCCGGACGCAAGCGTCTTAAGACTTTGATATTAACGAGTCATTGTGAACATGGAATTGACAGAGATGGCATGTGTGTGCCCTCGCGTTTTCAATGAGAAGAAAAAAATGTTTTTAAAATTATTTTGGGTTCATCCATTTACCAGTCAACGATTACTGAAAGTGAAAGGGCAATTTTATCTCTTATAGAGTAATCTATCAAAACTTTATTGTACAGCAAAGGTTTGCCTTCAACTGCACTTTCTAATTTCTCAGTCCAATTGACATCAAAATCAATTATTAATTTTAAACATATTAGCTGATGGTCCTTGCTCGATGTGCACAGAATGCAGTTAGGTGTAAAAACGATCAGATACATATGTGTAGGTGCATGGAACTGGGTGTGTCGTCATATTTCAGGGTAGACTGCTCTGTTCTCTTACTGGCTCAAACCAGTCTTTAGTCAGACTTGTTGTACTCGGTTTGAGGCCGGCCACAGCTTTTCCTGACAAAAATGTTGTGTTTTGATTAAGTATTACAGTAGGGTTCGTATTGCTCCATGGTTCATAACTTCCTAAAACACAAGTTTGAGTCTGTCTAAAGACAGATTTGTCAAGGTGCGGTATAGGCCTTAAACGTTTGCCCAAAGAAACAGGATTCAAAAGATGGGAGTGAGTAATTTTCGAGACCCACATGGAGCACGTGGAGTCGTCCAGACAGCCTGACGGATGAAATCGACAAGCTTAGCCTACACTGAAATAACGGGGCAGGATGGTGTCGCTGTATCAAAATTAAAAATTTGAGGGCAAGGTTACTTAAGTGTCAAAGTCATTTAATAGTATGATCCTGTGCATGAATCCAAGGAGCAATTTTTAAAACACGGCCCAAAGAAAAAAACGTTTTTTTATTACTGAATCAAGATTTTTTTTGGGAAAATATTTTTGTTTGGTCGCTGACCTGCAGAATTGCCATGCAAAGTTTTATGGGCGTTTGTAAATTAACACGTGAGCTAAAAATGTTAACGCGGTCAGACAAAAGTGAACAAGCTATAACAACTTGCTCGCCTGTGACGTAACTGACGTTTGTACGTTCACATCAAAAGTTACCATGCTGGATCACACGGTAGCTGGTGTAAACGGTGGAAAAGTTGGCAAGGTGTCCTACAAAATAATGAAGGGAACTCTGGCTAGTTACCATTTCATTAAATTTTAATGAAGCCATTAACGTATCATTAACAAGTAATAATTTTTGGTTGGAAACGGTAGATAGTGCCGTGTTCACCCTATAAATGACAATGATTTCATCTTTTCCGAAATGACCTGGAAGTCGTTTCTCTGCACATCCCTTTATCTTGTCGGGGTTTTTTTAAACGTGGGTGGTCTTGCAACAAAGAATTAACTGAATTGTTTTGTCTTCCTCCATGTTTTCTCTTTGCATGTAATCAATGTCTTATCACCTCGAGGTACGTACGAGATCTGTCCAAGAAGTAAGTTTCTCTGGTCTGTAAAATCAACAATTTGTTTTTATTTTACAGACATGGATATTTTACTTCTACAATAATACGTTTTCTCTTCAACATAACAGCCTTTGAAGACTTACTGCACTTTTTCATCCGATGCAGTAGGCGGTCAAACGCAGTTGTCCTGTCTGCCTCGGCCAGAGTCCTATCGTTGCTTGTTTTGAGCGCAATCAATTTCTTCCTTGTTGTCAAATTGCTGCCCCCTTTGACTTTGGGGAAGAAATAAAAATTGCAGGAATTAAAGGATAGATATTTTTAGAATAAACATGGGTGTGTTCTTTAGATCCTGAAAAGGCAAGAAGCAGCAGTATGGGGAAACACAGGATCACCACGACTTTAGAAAGCTCGACGCCAGCAAAGTGCTTTGATGAAAGTAATTATGCACATGTTTTTCGGTCGTGGTTTTAAACTGGTCGGTTCCCTATGGCACAGCAGCCAAGGATGACTATTGAAAAAATGGTTCGTAAAAAAAAAAGCTGAGGCCAGCAATCAGCAATCAGAAGAAAGTGACTGGGCTTACTCAAGCAAGGCGTGGTGTTATCTTCCACTTACATCGCTACCAAACCCAGACCAAAACTTGAAGGCCCAACTTTGCTAATGAGGAATTAACCATCTAGATAAACAACCAGTCGCCGACAGACTTCAGCGCGATCCTCTAAGGGGGGAGGGGGGGTGAGAAGAATCGAACAATACTGGCACCGGTACTCCTGTTTTGGAGGCATTCTCTAATCGTGAATCGTCTCCTTGAAATGCGAATTGGCAATCCGGCTGCTCCTGCAAAGAGACCTCGACGCAAAAAAAAAGAAATGGATATGGCGCCCCGGGAAGAGCATTGTTTATGATCCTGAACCAGGGCCGTCTGTATCTGCCAGTAATGAGGGCAGGCCAGTACGACCAAAGGATGGAGAGCTTGCAAAACAGGAACTTCTGTCCTCAGACTCGGACCAAACTGATCTGCCTGACCCTGAGTGGGAGTCTGAGACTGGCGTTGAAAAAACAGAGATAAACCAGGAACCTCTTTGAAGACTTCAGTAAGCGAAAGTCTAAGGAAACTTTTGAACTGTAGATTCGATCTGGTACCGTCCCATTGATTTGCCAACATTTGTTTAATAATTACCGGTATTAAATGTAATATTCATCACTTTGAAATGTGTTATGTTTTGAATGAAATGCTGAGAATTATTTTACCGTATTGAAACTAAATTAAAAATATTTCTGAACAGAAATGGAATAGTTTACACTTATGTTAGGACGCTTAAGTTACCTGATGTGGGATTTACTATGTTAAAAATCCCTTTATGTATGAGGATGCCTTAGTCATCCCATGCCGGGGTGACCTAGGCACCCACTCCCTTCTTTTCCCATTTTTTTAAAAAGTGGACATATTTGCCCCCAAAAGGATCTAAATCAACACTATTCAACGACTCCCCCCCCCCCTAATTTGAACCTCAAAAAAAAAAAACTTATACTCATGGGTTTTTAAATTATGAACGTCAGAAGCTAAAAAAAGTTGCTTTAGACGCCCCGGTTTACCGTACTAAATTCATAATAAATAATAATTCCCCTTTTCTCTGTCCGTCTCTCTGATGCACAGTCAGCCTCTGTATCTACATCTCCTTTCTTTTTTGTGTTTTAGTTGTAATTGGCGAGTAAATGCCCTCAAAACATTGAGTTTCTTTGCTTTGGAAAATGAAAATTAACGTTATGAGTGCCTTTGATCTAAAATGTCATGTTTGGTCAACGCTTTTATAATATGTGCTGTGAATGCTGGATAATTGCCAAAGAGAGTGAAAATAAAATAGAAGCAACAGAAATGTGGTGAAGGATCGAAAATAATTTTATTTTGTCAACATTTTGGCCAGTAAACGTTAGAACACCTAACCAACGAAAAAGGCTTCGCTCATGACCAAATAACACGAGCGCCAGTCTTGAGTGAGCAAAGCTAACAAGAAGTCGTGACTGAAATTCTCTCGACCGGACTAAAGGATTGGGGGCCCCTTAGGCCTATCATCGACAGATGATAGCGACTCTGCAATAGAAACTTACTCAAGGTAGGCCTAAAACAGTGGTTTCATAGGAAACTGCTGAGAACTTTTTGGAGGGAAGACAAATGCAGTATCTGGGACACTTAGGCCTCAAACACAGTGCACACTTCTCTGACGCTTCTTTTTCGGTTGCGACGTCTTTCTACGAAAAAGTTGCATCGCCAAATTTTATTAACAAAGGATTGAATGCACGGCGCTACAGTGGGCGCGGAGCAGACGCAGTGCTGGAGGGAGCAGAAAAAGTTCAGCGTGTGCACTTGCTGCTGAAATAAAATTTCGAGCGTCTGCTGCGCGGCTGAACTGTTGTGGCGTGATTGTGTAGTGCCTGTAGTGTGTAGTCATAGTGAATTGTTGCATTTTGACTACAATGGAGTCGGAGGCTTTAATACACACAGTTGAAAAAGAGAAGATGTCTTTATGACAAAGCAGATCAAAACTACTGCAACAGGGCCATGATATCGGCCGAATGGAAGAAGTTGGATGCAATGGTAAGAACT